AGAAAAAGAAAAAGAAAAAGAAAAAGAAAAAGAAGAAAAAAAAAGCTGCAGCCAATATTCAGGTGAAGAATTATGATGTTGCTGCCTTAACTTGTCACCAAGGGGCTCCCCCGTGGCAGTCCCCGGTGCCTCTGCCCCTCAGGTCTGCTTGGAAACACAAGCTATGGTGCCAGAACAGCCACAGGGGCTCCAACCTGGAAGCTCTAGCTCTAACCTGGGGGAAGGAGACAAAAGAACTGCTGAACTAGCCTAACCCAGGCCCACGCTCTCCAACTAYGCAAGTAATTCTCATCTAATTCCTATAAAACAACACGGAGCTCTGTTCCCAGCTGTGCTGCAGGGCAGTTATTGTTAAGACTGGCATTTACTGTGAGGTTATTGCCTTTTTTAAGACCCTCCATAATCACTCGGTGCAAAAGAGTCAGGGGAAGGGAGAAGCTGCTAGGGTTAACAAATCCCATGGAGTATAGGGAAGGACAGCAAAAAGTCATGAGGGCCTGCAAAGCTCTGCTCTCACTGTAAGTATTTAATATTAACCACTGAAATGCTGTCKGGTGGGAATGAGGAAAGGTAACCTAGAGAGCACGAGCCAAATGCTCACTGAGGGGATAAAGTCTGTAGGAGAAAGAGTGRGATCAAGCAATGGAAGTGGAAATGAGGATTCCTGATTTCAAACCCTATCCTTTGGAAAACAGCAGCTATATAGCAAGGTCTGGACAACCAGCACATATCCTGCCACATTCCATGGAACAAGATGCGCGGTCGTGGGCGAGACTCTCAGCTTTGCCACGACTTTGCTGCCAGGAAGGACACAGCACCTTGCCGCCCAACGCAGCTACAGCCAGTGACCAGGGAGGTCCCATCCATGGCTCCTCCCGCAACTCCATCAGGGTGCCACACAGGCGCTGCTTCTCAACTACAAATTACCAGAGGCACCAAGACTTTAATTGTACTCACACTGGCCTCCTATTAAAACACACAGGGACAAGCATCAGAGAACATAATTGCAGCTGTACAGCCACCTGTAAAGATGATGACAAAGGTTGACCAAAGAGTCAACATTAGCCCACGGGTGCGTGTACAGTCAGACTTCACCAGAAGGAATTCAAGTTCTCAGCTTTATCCTAACTTCCTTGCTACTGGCAGAAAACGGGGTGCTTATTTTATTTGACACTGTAGTGATGAGCTTTAACCCTGTGAGGATCTTAATCCTATTTTTACTATTGCTACAGTTCAAAGAGGTCACAGTGTGTATTAAGAGCGGATTGTCTTGGATAACAAGAATTTGTGTTGGTTAATAAGGATCTCTGGCAGGCTCTGCTGTGAYGGGCTTAGCAGAAGAATCAGGGCCTGGCACCCTCTCATTCACAGTGTAACACACACAGAGGTGAAGCTGCAAAGGAAACCCCAGCAGAGCAGGCTGTCTGAAATCACTGGGCGTTCCTACTTCCACTTGGACCGGAAGCAGAGCAAAGGCACTTAGYTGTGCTCATCCAGCTCCACAACAAGTATCCAAGAACTCCAGGAAGGAACAAAATAGAGGCTAAAAAGGAAAATGCAAATATAAAAGGCCAGTTCCCAGGTGTTACTTTAACCAAATCACTTCTACTGCACTCTCTATGCGTAACGTGCTCAGCACAGTAAAGCCACCAAGTGAGGTATCTGCATGGTTTTCCATCCCTCAGTTTTCCCTTTACAGAGTCAAATCCTTTCCAAACCAGAGTACAGCCTTTCAGATCAGGAGGCTGCAACACACTGCTGCCTAGCAACAGCCCAGGGACTTTCCAAGGCAGCCTGTTCTCATCCCAACTCTCTAGAGATTTCCACGTCACAAGCCAGCCACGAGATGCAGCAACTCAGTAATTCCTCCTCTTCACATAGATAGCTGAAATAACATTTATTTGGCTACAAGGCTCTTAGTAGCCTAAATCCAGCAAGAATGGCCTATGAAAAAAAAAAAAAAAAAAAGGGTAATGTGCTCAAGTTTAGTATCTGTGGGATTACCCCTAAGCACCAGGCCAATCTGGAAGTGTGGTTGTAGTTTCTCAAGTTATTTTCTGGGAGCAGTGACAAGAGCAAGATCTGCTCAAAGTCACGTATTAGTTGCAGAGCTGAGAATAAACTGTAGGGCTTGGTTTCTTAAACCTTTTCTTCCACCTGCAGAAAAGGAAATGGAAGAAAGAAAAAGAGGCAGCATCAGTGCTCAGCCTTCCTATTTCAATTAAAAAGTCCCTTCTGCCGGTCTCAGATAGAACTGTTGGCATTACAGAAAGAACTTACAACCTGGAAGTACTATTATTTGCACGATGGAAAGTTTATTTTGTAATTTACTGTGGCTTCTGCTTGAGAGGAGGAAATGAAAAGACTAAGGAAACATGAAAAGCCTTTTTGAGAGTATAGGAGTTATGCCTTGCTTAAAAAAAAAGAAGGCTGAATTAAAACATTTGAGGGTTAAACTCCCAGAATAGAGCAGAATCAACTCGTCCTAAGAACCCTCCCACCAATCCCACCTCCTGTTAACACAAACACTTTCTGCTCGTAACCCAGTGACTCCGTCCCTCCCRGACCTGGGTTTTGAAGCATATTGCAGGGATTGGAAATGCTCCTTTTGCAGGCTGCATAATTGCTGAACAAAACACGGCAATGAACCCCTCAGCTGGTACAGTTTTGCTACCCATCACTGCCACATCAAAATACCACAGTAATAGCAGAGATGAAACACTGCACCTACCTCCCTTGAAGCACAGCCTCTAATTCAGCCTTGCGTTGGGTTAAATCTCCAATTAAGCAGTAGTGCACTAAGCCCTCTAATATTGATTTGAACAGTTCTGAACCTAACCCAGACAGTGGTGCACGCACAGACTGCATTATAAAATATACTAACAAACAAAATAGAGCTGTTCTCAAGGCAAAATCATTCTAAGAATAGCTTAATCCTTAAGAAGCATGAATTTGTGTCACATTACTGCAGTTCAAAAGTATTCAGAAACAGCAATGAGCAATTTAAAGGCTTAATCATAGCTTAATTTTCAAACATTTAAGAGTATGGATAATCTCTTAAATAAGTGTACAATGTAAAAAATCATGCTGTATATTAATAAACACCCTTCCTCTTAGGTGCTTTTTATATACACTTTTCTATTTTTATAATGGTTTCATTTTCACTACCTCCATAAGGCAGAACAATAGCTCTTTTGTTTTAATTTTAGTATCTACTGCTGGTTTTAAGCCTATGATCACGCCTTCAGTGGGATGCTGTTTCACTATTACTTTTTTCCAAACAAATTTTATTGGGGTGCGATTACGCATAGGAGCTCTCGGTCCAGCTTCTGTATCTATCTACCATCATTCCACTAACTTGCATTAAAYTAGTAACTTCTATGAAATGCTAAATATTGATGAGCAGTAGCCTCACTCAGAATGAAGAATTTTACAAGGGTCTGCACTAACTTAATGAAAAAGGCTTCCAAATTGAAAATCTTTGTGTTTAATAAACATACTATTCTCAAAGACCAAGCTCTCAAGAAAACATCAGCCACGCCAGAAGCTTGGAGCCTTTCTCRGGTTTTGCCGAGGACCCTCCAGAGACAG